AGCTTATAGAGAGCCTTATTGCTGCGAAGGTGCAGCTTTAGACCCTAAGATACAGGGCCTAATTGCAGCTTATAGAGAGCCTTATTGCTGCGAAGGTACAGCTTTAGACCCTAAGATACAGGGCCTAATTGCAGATTATACAGAGCCTTATTGCTGCGAAGGTGCGGCTTTACACCCTAAGATACAGAGCCTAATTGCAGCTTATAGAGAGCCTTATTGCTGCGAAGGTGCAGCTTTAGACCCTAAGATACAGGGCCTAATTGCAGCTTATAGAGAGCCTTATTGCTGCGAAAGTGCAGCTTTAGACCCAAAGATACAGGGCCTAATTGCAGCTTATAGAGAGCCTTATGGCTGCTTTATAGAGAGCCTAATTGCAGCTTATAGAGAGCCTAATTGCAGCTTATAGAGAGCCAAATTGCAGCTTATAGAGAGCCTTATTGTTGCGAAAGTTCAGCTTTAGACCCTAAGATACATGGCCTAAGGAAGGAGACATTAATCTGTAGCTTGTTAAATACTAAAATTTAAAAGTTTGAGGCCCCAAGCTTTTAGGGTATCACGTTAATTATTATTGCATAGAACTATAAAAAGACTTCGATTTTTCTTGATCTTTTAAAATATTTTAAAAAAATACAATAGAATTTTTTAAAAAAAATAAGCGTAAAACTGTTTTGAATTGTATAATAACATAAAACTAACCAATAAAGTGTAATTTGTAGAATTCATTACGTAAAAAAACCGTTAGTATGACCGTTAAATTTCACAGAAGACGTTAAAATAACGGTTTAAAGAGAGATAAATTAATGTTTTATATTAATTAAACCGCTGGATTTTTAATTCGAGACAAATGTCAAGGTGATACTCCATTTATAAGTCAATTCAGAACAAAATACAGTATACTTATTCTACTGAGTTTTAATACAGTCGACCCCCTATATCACTATTGATTTTTCCGTTTTATATGAATTCCATGTTGTACGAGTCACTCAGATTTTATAAATACGTGTGCCGTTCACAGCCCGGCACACGTATTTATAAAATCTGAGTGACTCGTACAACATGGAATTCATATAAAACGGAAAAATCAACAGTGTTATAGGGGGGTCGACTGGTAGTAGATTAGTTAGAAAATACAGTTACAGCTTTTGAGTTTCTTTACATTTTCTCGGTTAACCGAGAGTTTTGTGCTAATCTGTATGCAGGAAGAAGTATCACTTAACACAAGTCAATATGCCACTATTTGTAACATGTTATGATGGATATTTATTGATTTTTCATCCTTTATAGAGGAAGAAGTATTACTAAACCCGAGTCAAAATTTGCAACAGTTTCGATTGAATTCTGACTAAGAGAATTACAGAAGATGACTTAAAAGAAACTTACATCATACAGTTGCTGGCCCTCAATTTCTGCCAAATCTTCGTTAACTTCTTTATCGGCTCTTGCAACCAACATTTCCAAAAGCCTCCTTATATCTCCAGTGAACGATTCGCAAATATATGTTTCCGGTTCAACGTTGTATTCTAAAATTATATAAAAATATGTCTTCTACACATTATAAATCGATATAAAAATACGCTGATAAGGTGATAGAAGAACTTTAATGAAAGAATAGAAAAGGGTTATTCAACCGGACTGTCAGAAATTAACAGAAGTTCGATCATTTCTAAAGATTTATCAGTTATATTTTTATGCTGAAAATGATTGATATATAATTTTAAAAAAAATATTTTTCTTTTATAAGAATAGGAAGTTCTCACTTACTGATGATAAAAAGAGCTTTCAGACTTTCCAATTCCTGCAATAATTTTTGTAAAAAGAATTAAAAATTAATCTTACGATGTTAACGCGAATATATACAAATTTACACGTTTAAAGGAGTTAGTTCCAACATTAAGTCACTAAAAATAGGATAAGAACAATTGAATTTATACCTTGGAGCCACAAGATAGTCCCTTCCCTCCACCAAATAATAATACATATAAAAATGTGAGGCCCTAAACTGTACAGCTTAGGGCCTCACATTTATAGACTCGTAATGCTAGGTCCTAAGCCGCAGTTTGTTTAGCTTTTGATGTTTAAGTTATGGCAACGCAACACTTGGGCGATCTGTCTAGGGGATGCTTTCAGAGAGGTCTTTTTTAAGAGAAACTGGCCCCTATTTAGGCGTTACAGACGTGGAGAAAACCCGGAAAACTCTACGTGGCCAGCCGTCCGAGAGAGGAGCGAACCCACGACCAAACTCCCAGTGTTCAGGGAACGAAGACCACTTGGCCACTGGTGGGCCTGTTTAGATTTTAAACAAACTCGGCCTGAAAGTGAGCATTTATAAGAACATTGTAGTTCTGAGCACTTAAACTAGTGCCTAAAATTTCTAGACAAGACTCATAGTTCTAGAATTATTACATCTTAGACACTAGTTTAAGTCTTGAGAATCGTAACGCTATTCTTGCGGTATTAGAAAGCCTAGCTGGCCCTGTTTATGCCCACTAGTTGCAAAGTGGTTAAGTGACGAATACTTAAATAAATGGAAGGTTTTAAACAAACACAGGACTAAAATTTTATCTGGAACCATAGGATTTCAATGTTGGAACCATACTTTCCTTGCTGACATTATCTAGTTGCGAGTAACTCACCTCAGAATCGTGACAGCAAAGCACATGAAAGACGCAGTATTTATCTTTTTTCTAAAAGAAATATAATAAAAATTTATTTAAAAAATGGTAAATAAAGAAGAGAAGTTATAAAATTGAAACGAATCTCGAAGGTCAACCTTGCAAGCGTCGTATAAATGATCCACCAAAACTTCGTCGATAGGTTTGAGTAGCGCTACGCAGACATCTTCGAAATGTCCTCCTAGAACAGCTTTTATGTCATCGATTAAATTCTTAAAAAATTGAAAATTAAATCGATATGCAAATTAAACAATGTTTAAAATGTTTTAAAACCATTTATTTTACTTACTCGTCCATATATATTCGTATATTTTTCACTTATTTCTTGCCTCTGGCACGAACTATGTTTAGTGAGGACTTCTATAATGGTCTGGTCATCTGTATCTGAAAATTCCGGGTTAAAAGATTACTTTGTAATATTTTAACAATAAAATATTGTAATTAATTAAGTATTCATAACAGCCAAGGAATTTCATTAGAACAAAAGCTTATTATGTCTAAGAGGGCCCACCAGTGGCCAAGTAGATAAAACAACCAGAACACTAACAATTTGCCAGGTCGTAGATTCACACCTGGCCATGTGGTTTTCCGGGTATTATTCACCGTGCCTAACACCTAAATAGGGTTCATTTTCACGTAGAAAATCCTCCCGAGAGGCACCCCTATTTAGTCGATCGCCCAAGTGTTATCTCATCGCCTTATTCCATCAATCTAGTCCATTTATGAATGACATAGGCCATAGCTGTCTTTCAGAAGCTGTAAGCAATAACAAATAAGAGGCTATTCACCTTTTGCCTAACACGAGTCCTAAAGTACAGTACATTCTCGAAGAGCGTGACCTTAGTAATAGCTTGTTTAGCTTATATATAAATCTGACTATGCTCATCTCTTCTACGCCCTATCCCTCTCAATTGTGATCTGTAATCTTGCCATTTCAGCATCCTTTTGGCTAGAATGTGCTATTTTTGACCTAAAATACAGTATATTAAGGTAAAAAATTAAGTAAATACGCTTATACCAACATAGGTTGTTCCCCTTTTAAAATAAAGGAAATCTTTAATAAAGATTTTAAAATAGAAAAAGTTATAGAAGCAGATTTAAAAGGAGCGTTACTTTCAACCAATCGGAGTAAAGCTAACGATAACGTCAATTAATTTAAAATTAAATCTTTCTGACGTTTTATCTACTGTATCTAACGGAGGACGGCTTATGTTCCGAAGAACTTTTTTAAGTTTATTTTGATCTGTTTTATCGATTTGAAGGAATTTGAGAGAGACTTTTTGGCTATTTATACTTCATACATTCTTTTAATAGACTTTCACTTAATTCAATTTTATACTTCCTAAAGTATAAGATCTAGAAGGCTTTCATAAACACGGTAGTAATAAAATAAAGGTCCGAAATTTGATTTTGTAGCTGCTGTCTAGCGTAGTTTTAGTATTAAAACTAAAACTAAAGAACACGGCTAAAGCATTCCCACTGTCTGACCAGTAACACAGTCACTTGACATCGAGAATCAACCAAAACATGGTCGTGTGGTCCTTTTATGAGTCTTTCCATTTTCTCCTTAGCTCTAGCATCTCTCAAGTTCTTATGTTTTCTCTTGTCTCTGACATCTTTCAACTGTTTCATTATTGACAGGACCAAGTCCTTCGAGTGACTCACTTACCAACACTTCTCTTTCATTATTAAAATCCCTTCGAATCAAGTTCATGCTAGTATCTTTCAGCCTCCATTATCCTTCGAATCCTAGAAAAATCAGACTCTGTACTATCACCACTGTTGCCAAGTAGTAGAGAAGCTTCCCACTAGTTCAAACTACATCTTTCACTAAATCGGAACATCTTGCCATTAAACTTGGTATGATATCGAGCCGAACATGAAGGAACACAACATTGAAGATTGTTAAGCTCTTCATCTTAGGCTGCTAAAAAAAGTACATTATCTTATAACACAATACTGTATAAATATTAAAATCGGGATCCCGAAATTTCCTACCAAAAATACTATAATTTCCATAAAATTTCTCACGATTGCTTCAATTTTCCATTAAAGTTTGTGGAAATTTACCAAGTTGGCAATATTGATTACTGGGACGGCAGCGCACGCTGACGAGAAAACGGCAGAAGACAAGTAAAAATTATTTTAAAAAGATTGAAAATTAATTTGAGAATCATAAAATACGGTAACATGTAATAAAATTGCTTTCCTTTCATATTTTCTTGCTATATTCTTTGATTATTTACATGATATTAGTACGAAACAAATGTTTTCTTTCCGAATGATTAAAGAATGGATTCGCATTATTGTCAATAATCCGACAATCTCCTTAATCTGACACTGTTTTGGTCCCATATATATATATCGGATTATACTGCACTCAAGATATTTATTGTCAGGTTTTACTGCTTCTATCTTGGCACTTCTGGTTCAGAGTGGCTTAAGTTAACCACAGTCATTTTGACAGTCAAGATGATTTTCCACGAGTTAGGTGTTCTTTCAAAGATGGAAAATGGTTCAGTAGGCCGAGGAAATTTCCCTTATTCCCGAATTCCAACCGAACCACTTCCTGCGCCCTTGTAAAGCTAATCTACCAATGCCCACGCTGACTTTACAAGGACATAGGATAAGACCACCGAACACTAATATTTAGTGGTAGGTTTATGCCTGACCAACGAGTTTTGCATGGAGTTTTCCGGATTTTGTCCACGTGTAGAACACCCAAAATAAGGCCAATTTCCGCAGGAAGGAACCTTGGAGGCATCTGCCAGCTCAGATGACTGCCCTGACGTGTTGCAATCCTTTGAAAAGCCAGATTGTAAATAATTTTATGTAAATGTAAGGTATCATGTTGCTTCTGCTTTTCCTTAAAGTATTGTGTCAACAACACCTTTTTTTCCAGCTTAATTTATTTCCATTTCTTCCACTGTGTGATGTCCCCCCAATGATTATTAGCATTTTTATGAACACTGCTTTCCACTAACTTTCCAGGTTGAATCAATTTTCTCGCTCCAATGAGAATTGATGATCTGACCGGAAATAGAAAACAAAACAGATACAAACTGGAGACTTTTTAGAAGGAAAACAGATCAGACATTTTCTCACCACGACAATTTCTCAACTTCCTCTTGAACCAAGTTTATACCCCATTCAACGTGTCCTAACTGCCACCCCTTTCAAAAGAGTTCATTTTATTATTAATATCTCATCGAGGGTTCGACAAATAGCAATAAAATAAAGATTTATTGAATTCAGTTGTACTACATTCCCAGTAGTACATCAGTACTCTAAAGGTTTGTAGAAGGTGACAATTGGAGTTTAGAGATGTTCGCAGGATTAAGTATTACAAATTATCATAAAACTTTTCAACAAAAAAAAATTCACTTAATTAATTCGTTCCATAAAAGTAACAATTTTATAAGAAATTTTTTACATTAAAATAATGCAGTAAATCAAGTAAAATTGTAACAATCAACACGTAAGAGCACCACTAAAATGCAAACAACATTTGACATAAATGAAGGTGTGCTTATTATTATAAACCTCCATTTACACGAAAGAAAACCCCCAAAATTTACTTGACAAATTAAAATTTTTNTCCTTTAGAGAAACAACATGCCAATTACAATTTTTCTGAATATTTAATCTTATATTTCAATTTTATATAAAGAAAAATCTAGAATATAAAACTGCAAGATTTGTTTGTTTTGAACACGAGAACGAGCCCCGTGTATCGATTTTTCTTGATGTGACAGCGTAACTAAGCTCCGTATCAAAATTGTTTGTATTGTCATCATTTTAAATTAATAAATTTGAAAACATTTCGTGACTTTCTTTGAATATTTAAGTACTATCTGGAACGATATGAATAATCATAATAAATAAAACTAACGTGACGTAGCTAAGAACAATTAAATTCTATTAAAATTCGTCAAATAAGGCCCATTTTCTTTAGCAACTACATCAAAAACTGTATCAGTTGGGCAAGACGATTCCTCTGTGTTTGGTACAATTAAAGTGACAGAACGGTTCTTACCATTTCGAGGTAAACGTTCTTCATCTCTCGGTAACTTGCCGTAAATGAACCATGTTATATGTCTTAATACAGTCGACACCCCTATAACACTGTTGATTTTTGCGTTTTATATGAATTCCATGTTGTAGGAGTCACTTAGATTTTACAAATACGTGAGTCGTTCACAGCCCGGCACACGTATTTGAAAAATCTAAGTGACTCGTACAACATGGAATTCATATAAAACGGAATAATCAACAGTGTTATAGGGGGGTCGACTTGTAATTAATTACTATAAGCCTCAAACACATTCTGTACGATACAATAATGTTTATAATAATAATCAACCAGAAGTTGCCGGAAGAAAGGCTCAGAATACGAACGTGGATAGGGCTGCAAAGAACAATAGATGTGTTATCAGAGACCATTTTGATAAGCTGAAGGATGTATTGGCTCATCTATAGACGAGAAAGGATGTAGATTGGTTCTATATAAAGAGCAAAACGTGTATGATAAAGTGATAATGACTAGAAGACACTAGAAGGAACGGGAAGAATGTAATAAATAGATTACCGGAAGAGAAAAGAAATATACTACAAATAAATAAATAAATAAATAATAGTATTTATTAACAAAGGTCAGTGCCTTCATTATCGGAAACAAATCCGAATCGTCATTCGTAGATAAATTTTACTACAAAAAAAAAAAAAAAAATCGATCTGCACGTCTCTCCCCGTTGATAGTCGTTAAAGTCGATGATTAAATGAAGAATTGTCCACGATTTTTATCGATTTAAACACGTAAAGGTCAGTATCACGCAATTCTTCTCTTTTATATAAACAGTGAAAGTCAACCGTTACACATATCAAATATTTTGCGATTGAATTGTAATGTTTATACTATAGAATACTCAAGATTCACTTAAATTGTACGTGAAACAAACTATACATATGTGTACAAATATTTTTAAAGGGTCAAAGGTTATAAGGTATAAAATTTATATATGTTTTTATGATATAATTCAGGTCAGATATTCACAATTTCTTTTTCTAAAGTACAATTCTTTTTTCAAAAATATGACTCTATCGTCATCTGTTACTGTTCTCACATTCCATCATTTGCAATGAACTTTGACATTTTTTTGGATTAAAATCATTAAAAAGCAGGTTTAATTTTTAAAAAAACTAACGGAATTCGTTTAAAATATATCAAAATACAGTAGAGCATCAATTATCCGAATCAATTGGGGACGGGTTGCTCGGAAGATCAATGTTTCGGATAACCGATTATGTACGAAAAAATATATTAATTTATCCCGTGTTGAAATTTTTTTCCGTTGCGTGTCGCTTCGCGTTGACTTTCGGATAATCGACGCTCTACTGTAAATACATTTCCATAGGAACACTAAGGAAGTGCTCTCATGGGATGCACAAAAGACAAAGAAAATATTTCTATGGATAACAAAGAAAATATTAAGTTTAAATGTGAAAAAAACAATTTTTTTAGTTAATCTAACTACAGTTTTATAAATTTCGCTTCTTTAAATGTACGTTTATTACGCAGAAGTACACAAATCTTTTCTATAAAGCTTAAAGTAGTGAGTTTATTATTGTTAAAAGTCTATAAAATCCTAATCCAAAAATACACGCAGTGATCAATTGTATCTAAAAATACCAATTTTGCTGCTATATTTACTCTCAATGAATTTTTAAGGTCAGGAAGGATTAAAAATCATTGTTTTTCTGCCAGAAAATATATTCTTGCATCCTTCAAAAAATCATTTGTCAATTAAAAAAAATAACACCAGCTCATGAAATTGATAGACAAGGTTGATTTTGTCCCAAAATTATACGTGGTATAGCTTATAGAGAGCTTTATTGCTGCGAAGGTGCAGCTTTAGACCCTAAGATACAGGGCCTAATTGCAGCTTATAGAGAGCCTTATTGCTGCGAAAGTGCAGCTTTAGACCCTAAGATACAGGGCCTAATTGCAGCTTATAGAGAGCCTTATTGCTGCGAAGGTACAGCTTTAGACCCTAAGATACAGGGCCTAATTGNATGGATATTTATTGATTTTTCATCCTTTATAGAGGAAGAAGTATTACTAAACCCGAGTCAAAATTTGCAACAGTTTCGATTGAATTCTGACTAAGAGAATTACAGAAGATGACTTAAAAGAAACTTACATCATACAGTTGCTGGCCCTCAATTTCTGCCAAATCTTCGTTAACTTCTTTATCGGCTCTTGCAACCAACATTTCCAAAAGCCTCCTTATATCTCCAGTGAACGATTCGCAAATATATGTTTCCGGTTCAACGTTGTATTCTAAAATTATATAAAAATATGTCTTCTACACATTATAAATCGATATAAAAATACGCTGATAAGGTGATAGAAGAACTTTAATGAAAGAATAGAAAAGGGTTATTCAACCGGACTGTCAGAAATTAACAGAAGTTCGATCATTTCTAAAGATTTATCAGTTATATTTTTATGCTGAAAATGATTGATATATAATTTTAAAAAAAATATTTTTCTTTTATAAGAATAGGAAGTTCTCACTTACTGATGATAAAAAGAGCTTTCAGACTTTCCAATTCCTGCAATAATTTTTGTAAAAAGAATTAAAAATTAATCTTACGATGTTAACGCGAATATATACAAATTTACACGTTTAAAGGAGTTAGTTCCAACATTAAGTCACTAAAAATAGGATAAGAACAATTGAATTTATACCTTGGAGCCACAAGATAGTCCCTTCCCTCCACCAAATAATAATACATATAAAAATGTGAGGCCCTAAACTGTACAGCTTAGGGCCTCACATTTATAGACTCGTAATGCTAGGTCCTAAGCCGCAGTTTGTTTAGCTTTTGATGTTTAAGTTATGGCAACGCAACACTTGGGCGATCTGTCTAGGGGATGCTTTCAGAGAGGTCTTTTTTAAGAGAAACTGGCCCCTATTTAGGCGTTACAGACGTGGAGAAAACCCGGAAAACTCTACGTGGCCAGCCGTCCGAGAGAGGAGCGAACCCACGACCAAACTCCCAGTGTTCAGGGAACGAAGACCACTTGGCCACTGGTGGGCCTGTTTAGATTTTAAACAAACTCGGCCTGAAAGTGAGCATTTATAAGAACATTGTAGTTCTGAGCACTTAAACTAGTGCCTAAAATTTCTAGACAAGACTCATAGTTCTAGAATTATTACATCTTAGACACTAGTTTAAGTCTTGAGAATCGTAACGCTATTCTTGCGGTATTAGAAAGCCTAGCTGGCCCTGTTTATGCCCACTAGTTGCAAAGTGGTTAAGTGACGAATACTTAAATAAATGGAAGGTTTTAAACAAACACAGGACTAAAATTTTATCTGGAACCACAGGATTTCAATGTTGGAACCATACTTTCCTTGCTGACATTATCTAGTTGCGAGTAACTCACCTCAGAATCGTGACAGCAAAGCACATGAAAGACGCAGTATTTATCTTTTTTCTAAAAGAAATATAATAAAAATTTATTTAAAAAATGGTAAATAAAGAAGAGAAGTTATAAAATTGAAACGAATCTCGAAGGTCAACCTTGCAAGCGTCGTATAAATGATCCACCAAAACTTCGTCGATAGGTTTGAGTAGCGCTACGCAGACATCTTCGAAATGTCCTCCTAGAACAGCTTTTATGTCATCGATTAAATTCTTAAAAAATTGAAAATTAAATCGATATGCAAATTAAACAATGTTTAAAATGTTTTAAAACCATTTATTTTACTTACTCGTCCATATATATTCGTATATTTTTCACTTATTTCTTGCCTCTGGCACGAACTATGTTTAGTGAGGACTTCTATAATGGTCTGGTCATCTGTATCTGAAAATTCCGGGTTAAAAGATTACTTTGTAATATTTTAACAATAAAATATTGTAATTAATTAAGTATTCATAACAGCCAAGGAATTTCATTAGAACAAAAGCTTATTATGTCTAAGAGGGCCCACCAGTGGCCAAGTAGATAAAACAACCAGAACACTAACAATTTGCCAGGTCGTAGATTCACACCTGGCCATGTGGTTTTCCGGGTATTATTCACCGTGCCTAACACCTAAATAGGGTTCATTTTCACGTAGAAAATCCTCCCGAGAGGCACCCCTATTTAGTCGATCGCCCAAGTGTTATCTCATCGCCTTATTCCATCAATCTAGTCCATTTATGAATGACATAGGCCATAGCTGTCTTTCAGAAGCTGTAAGCAATAACAAATAAGAGGCTATTCACCTTTTGCCTAACACGAGTCCTAAAGTACAGTACATTCTCGAAGAGCGTGACCTTAGTAATAGCTTGTTTAGCTTATATATAAATCTGACTATGCTCATCTCTTCTACGCCCTATCCCTCTCAATTGTGATCTGTAATCTTGCCATTTCAGCATCCTTTTGGCTAGAATGTGCTATTTTTGACCTAAAATACAGTATATTAAGGTAAAAAATTAAGTAAATACGCTTATACCAACATAGGTTGTTCCCCTTTTAAAATAAAGGAAATCTTTAATAAAGATTTTAAAATAGAAAAAGTTATAGAAGCAGATTTAAAAGGAGCGTTACTTTCAACCAATCGGAGTAAAGCTAACGATAACGTCAATTAATTTAAAATTAAATCTTTCTGACGTTTTATCTACTGTATCTAACGGAGGACGGCTTATGTTCCGAAGAACTTTTTTAAGTTTATTTTGATCTGTTTTATCGATTTGAAGGAATTTGAGAGAGACTTTTTGGCTATTTATACTTCATACATTCTTTTAATAGACTTTCACTTAATTCAATTTTATACTTCCTAAAGTATAAGATCTAGAAGGCTTTCATAAACACGGTAGTAATAAAATAAAGGTCCGAAATTTGATTTTGTAGCTGCTGTCTAGCGTAGTTTTAGTATTAAAACTAAAACTAAAGAACACGGCTAAAGCATTCCCACTGTCTGACCAGTAACACAGTCACTTGACATCGAGAATCAACCAAAACATGGTCGTGTGGTCCTTTTATGAGTCTTTCCATTTTCTCCTTAGCTCTAGCATCTCTCAAGTTCTTATGTTTTCTCTTGTCTCTGACATCTTTCAACTGTTTCATTATTGACAGGACCAAGTCCTTCGAGTGACTCACTTACCAACACTTCTCTTTCATTATTAAAATCCCTTCGAATCAAGTTCATGCTAGTATCTTTCAGCCTCCATTATCCTTCGAATCCTAGAAAAATCAGACTCTGTACTATCACCACTGTTGCCAAGTAGTAGAGAAGCTTCCCACTAGTTCAAACTACATCTTTCACTAAATCGGAACATCTTGCCATTAAACTTGGTATGATATCGAGCCGAACATGAAGGAACACAACATTGAAGATTGTTAAGCTCTTCATCTTAGGCTGCTAAAAAAAGTACATTATCTTATAACACAATACTGTATAAATATTAAAATCGGGATCCCGAAATTTCCTACCAAAAATACTATAATTTCCATAAAATTTCTCACGATTGCTTCAATTTTCCATTAAAGTTTGTGGAAATTTACCAAGTTGGCAATATTGATTACTGGGACGGCAGCGCACGCTGACGAGAAAACGGCAGAAGACAAGTAAAAATTATTTTAAAAAGATTGAAAATTAATTTGAGAATCATAAAATACGGTAACATGTAATAAAATTGCTTTCCTTTCATATTTTCTTGCTATATTCTTTGATTATTTACATGATATTAGTACGAAACAAATGTTTTCTTTCCGAATGATTAAAGAATGGATTCGCATTATTGTCAATAATCCGACAATCTCCTTAATCTGACACTGTTTTGGTCCCATATATATATATCGGATTATACTGCACTCAAGATATTTATTGTCAGGTTTTACTGCTTCTATCTTGGCACTTCTGGTTCAGAGTGGCTTAAGTTAACCACAGTCATTTTGACAGTCAAGATGATTTTCCACGAGTTAGGTGTTCTTTCAAAAATGGAAAATGGTTCAGTAGGCCAAGGAAATTTCCCTTATTCCCGAATTCCAACCCAACCACTTCCTGCGCCCTTGTAAAGCTAATCTACCAATGCCCACGCTGACTTTACAAGGACATAGGATAAGACCACCGAACACTAATATTTAGTGGTAGGTTTATGCCTGACCAACGAGTTTTGCATGGAGTTTTCCGGATTTTGTCCACGTGTAGAACACCCAAAATAAGGCCAATTTCCGAAGGAAGGAACCTTGGAGGCATCTGCCAGCTCAGATGACTGCCCTGACGTGTTGCAATCCTTTGAAAAGCCAGATTGTAAATAATTTTATGTAAATGTAAGGTATCATGTTGCTTCTGCTTTTCCTTAAAGTATTGTGTCAACAACACCTTTTTTTCCAGCTTAATTTATTTCCATTTCTTCCACTGTGTGATGTCCCCCCAATGATTATTAGCATTTTTATGAACACTGCTTTCCACTAACTTTCCAGGTTGAATCAATTTTCTCGCTCCAATGAGAATTGATGATCTGACCGGAAATAGAAAACAAAACAGATACAAACTGGAGACTTTTTAGAAGGAAAACAGATCAGACATTTTCTCACCACGACAATTTCTCAACTTCCTCTTGAACCAAGTTTATACCCCATTCAACGTGTCCTAACTGCCACCCCTTTCAAAAGAGTTCATTTTATTATTAATATCTCATCGAGGGTTCGACAAATAGCAATAAAATAAAGATTTATTGAATTCAGTTGTACTACATTCCCAGTAGTACATCAGTACTCTAAAGGTTTGTAGAAGGTGACAATTGGAGTTTAGAGATGTTCGCAGGATTAAGTATTACAAATTATCATAAAACTTTTCAACAAAAAAAAATTCACTTAATTAATTCGTTCCATAAAAGTAACAATTTTATAAGAAATTTTTTACATTAAAATAATGCAGTAAATCAAGTAAAATTGTAACAATCAACACGTAAGAGCACCACTAAAATGCAAACAACATTTGACATAAATGAAGGTGTGCTTATTATTATAAACCTCCATTTACACGAAAGAAAACTCCCAAAATTTACTTGACAAATTAAAATTTTTTCACGAAATTTTAGAAAGAGAGAGAGAGAGAGAGAGAGAGAAAATCACAAAATTAAACAAAATTATCGTCATTTTTACACTTTAAAAGTATGCAAAATACAAATTAAACTACCGCAAAACATCGTAATTACAATTAAGAATTTATAGCATAAAAATTATTATTTAAAAAAAAAAATTATATTTACTTATTCCTCTAAGTGCATGACGAAGAGAAGCTGCTACCTTTTCTGCTGCTAAACTTTCAGCATGAGTAATTGTGCCCTATATATATATTATATTATTAAAATAAAAATAAATTTAATTAAAAAATATTAAATATTATAAAAATATATAATAGGAAATCCGGTGCAGAGAAACGAACCTACCTTGAGCGCTTCCATAGTTGTTTGTGAGGGTCACTATAGCAATGATTGGTTAGATGCGTGACGAGCGGATCACGTGTCTAGATACTATTGTCTGATTCAAACAATTTATAGTCCTGGGTTTATATATGAATATTATAAATTGTATCACGCACTTTATAAAAGTGTTTGTTTATTTTAAAATATATTAAAAGGTAAACAAAAAAAGATATATTATCATTATTATTATTTTTTTTCTGAATTAATAAACTTTGCTGAGGTTTGTTGGATTTTAAAAAATAATTTAACTGACTTTCTGGTTGCTAACCACGTGACATACAAATTCCTCTTAATATTTAATCATTTACATGTGTGATGTATTATTTAAAATATGATAGAAATCTAGAATTTATTAAAATTAAAAAAATATATTATGCTAAATGAATATATATTTTTTTTTGTAGTTTAATTATAATTAATATACGTTTTTAATTTAAATTTACACGTAACGAATTTACTTACATCCTTTTCGTTTGGAATTTATATATTTTTTAGCATGAATTAAATTTTAATTACATGCTATTTATAAAATCACCAAGCAAACAAATCGATTGTATCTAAAAAATGCGAATAAATAGCCTTTTTTATTGCATAAAGAGCTAAGAGAATGAGAAAGAAAAAGAGCTAAGTGAATGAGAAAGAGCTAAGAGAATGAGAAAGAGAGCTAGAGAATAAGAAAAAGCTAAGAAATTGAGAACGAGAAAGAGCTAAGTGAATGATAAAGAGCTAAGCGAATGAGAAAGAGAAAAAACTAGAGAATGAGAAAGGGCTAGGTGAATGAGAAAGAGCTAGAGAATGAGAAAGAGTTAAGTGAATGATAAAGAGAAAGAGCTAAGTAAATGAGAGAGAGAAAGAGCTAGAGAATGAGAAAGAGCTAGGTGAATGAGAAAGAAAAAGAGCTAAAGAATGAGAAAGGGCTAGGACGCTAGGTGAATGAGAAAGAGCTAGAGAATGAGAAAGAGTTAAGTGAATGAGAAAGAGCTAGAGAACGAAAAAGAGCTAAGTGAATGATAAAGAGAAAAAGCTAAGTAAATGAGAGAGAGAAAGAGCTAAGTGAAGATGGCAACGGAATCTTCATCTGCGTCTTCATACACTTGCACTGCTGAAAAGTGTTCCTATATAAAGAAGTGTTACTTGGACACCTCTTTACCCAGGAACACTTTTCAGCAGTGACTCAAATCCATGAGGTGTTCCTGATAGAAAAAAATAAAAACGATGTCAACATTTAGATTTTCCAATTTTTTAAGACCCCCAATTCAGAAGAATGTTCAGTCTAGACATTTCTAAATCCTACATGGTCCAGTTGTAGAGTGATGTTTAGGCTGAAAACGTGCCTATAAAGGATTATTAATTGAAACTGTTTTATATCTTTATAGTTCCCATTCCTCTCTATCTGTCACACCTCTCTAAACTAAACATATATCTTTCCCACTGATGTTAAAATTACAGAGGTTCTACTGTTTATAGTATTGTAATTTTTCCAGCTTGTAAAGTTTCTTATATAATTCACAATTATAATGTTGCTTAGGAAAATTAGAGTGGTGTTAACGAGATCAATATTAATCATTCTGAAGATTGTTTCTACAGATTGTTTTAATGACGTGGATATAAATTTTGTACCTTAAACACCTATTATGGCATAAGCACCTAGCTTTTGATTAAAATTTTAATTGTAATTTAACACGGTAATAAAAAATAGTTTTTTTCTTAATTTGAAAATTTAAAAAACTCAAAAGCTTATACTGATTGGTTAAATTTAAATAACGTTGTCAGTTTCCGCACATTGATTGGTTGTCAATTTAGAAACGTCATAAAAAGTAGACATTTTACAATTGATTTAATTGAAATTTTTACGTAAATAGAGAGAAAATAAAAAAGGAAATCGATATTAAAAACGAATGAAATAAGTTTAAAACTTAATAAAATAATATATAATTTAATATAGGATTTATATCATTGTTGCTGTTAAGTAGCATTATGCGTGACCGAGCTATAACATGAAAATAGCTTGATAAAATATAATGTATAATTTTATCCTCTTCCTGTTGAGGTTAAGTAAATTCCGTATATTAAAAATTCTCATTTTATATATCAGGTTTTATTAAATAACAATTTAAAAAATATATATATAAAAAAAAGGAAATATGTTACATTCTTATATAGGTCACGGGCTTAGTTTCTATGATTTTAGGACCCTTACTCTAATATAAATTCGAATTTTACACCCTTAAGAACGTAATACGTGAGATAAAGTAACTAAAATTATAATTAAAAAAATATAGGCCTATATAATTATATCATTTTAAATATAGAATTATTAATAATACAAATATTAAGTATTCGTGTCTTAAAATAAATATTTAATTTATTGCTTTAAATTTATTTAATTAATAGAAATAATTCTGTTTTAAATTCGAACACAGTACAATAAAAATTTAAAAATTTGAAATTCTCCAATCCTATTGGTTTATTTTTGAATTCGAATCGATACGTAACAAATTTTAAGATTCGCCATTGGATAATTTTGAAATTTAAATTAACGACTTGTTTGATTAACGTAAATATTAAGAAAAACTAATTTTTGGAGCGTTTTAAGGGGCTAATTTTTATAAAATTAAAAAAATATATTGATTTAAGCATAAATTAATTTTATAAATGGATTTTTTTACGTTGTACTTTTTAATTTTCTTATCGAACTAGGAACTAAGCCATAATTCTTTTTATGTTGTAGCAGATTTGTATTAATTTAATCGATTTATAGTTTTATAAAATTTTTCCTTAGAATCTTAACCTTGTAAAGAAACTATCAGCCATATCAATACTCATTATCACTCATTTTAATTTAGGCAAAACGAATACGTTATTCAACACACGCATTAACCGAATGAATCTTTCTTGAAGATTTATGAGGCACAGAAGTATATTTTTTCCTTTTATTCTTACATTACAACAAACTTCATTCTTTTTTTGTTGTATCCTCCATAAAAACTTTTTCTCACCTTTATATTATAAATCCATTTGCAGAATTAAATACTGCAGTTGTAAGGGATTAAAAAAAACATTCAAAGATAATAAGTTGGGAATTCGTAAAGAATTGTTATTTTTAGAACGTTAAAATTGCATTCGAGATAAAACAATCGAGATTTTATTGAAATTTAAGGGATTAAATTACGAAATTTTCAATACTTAATGAGTTAATTAAGTCATAAATATAGTAAATCTAAGTTAAAATTCATTATATTAATAAAAATACAAGTCGCCCCCCTTATAACACTGTTGATTTTTCCGTTTTATATGAATTCCATGTTGTAAGAGTCACTTAGATTTTACAAATACGTGAGCCGTTCACAACCCGGCACACGTATTTGTAAAATCTAAGTGACTCTTACAAAGTGAAATTCATACAAAACGGAAAAATCAACAGTGTTATAGGGGGTCGACTGTAGAAGGATTTAATGATTAGATCTCGTATATATCCCATGTCTTTAGTTGATTAATTACAAGTGGGACTAAATAAAGTAGATTTTTTTTTTTGAAATTTCAGTAGAAATGGATGATTAATTACAGTTACGCAACTAAAAGAATTTGTAGATTTTCCTGAAATTTCAGTAGAAATAGATGATTTATGGTAGTTAATTCTATAGTCATAATATTTATAGCATGTTAATAATGCAATAACCAATATAATGTATTATTTAAGTTAATTATTCATTACGAAATTGACTATGTTTTAAGGTGGGCACTGAGAGCCTTTTACCACAGATCTTGGGTTCCTGAATGGAGTGGCCCGAAAAATTCTGGGATTTCTCACCCCGGCTCGATACCGGATCCTCCAAAACTGGTAAATTCAAGCTCTAAACGTCTTGACAATCCTCCTTGTTAAACTACTCGAGCTCATTGGTATGTAAATGTGGTAAGTTACACGTGTAGAAATTCAATTATAAAAAAGTTCTTGCAGGTAATTACAAATTGTTTAAAGGTACGAAAGAAATTTTAAAAATAGAATAAAACTGTAATTAAATATAATTAAAATATATAAATATATATTTAAAAATAGAATTCTCGATATTAAGAAATCAGTATTATTTCTGAGATTAATTTTTGCTAAATTTATGCCAGTTGATTTATCAGGAGGGGGGAGTCCTTTCATCGATAGAAACAGCGAGACAAGTGCGAAAACGAAAAATCGATGCTGATTTTATGATGAATTTTAATAAGTTTTACGTCGTTGGATATCAGCAAGTTAAAATTTACAAAAATTCTTCAAATTGTAATTTTAAACATCAATTTATTTTCATTTATTAATCAGAAATGAGCGTGAAAATAAAGCTGCAATATGCTGAAAATTGTAATTAATTTAATATCGTGAGTAAAAATGCTTGAAATTTCTTTAATTCGTGTAAAGATTTTGTAAATTTAACTTTTCTTTGATTAAATTGGTGATAAAATTGGTTTTTAGATTCAAGACGGAAGAATATTCTTACGGATTTTTAAATACGTCAATGACCCTTTTCACCTTCAGCCAGGAAGATAAAATATTTGAACTGTAAGGTTTAGAATTTTCTAATTCTGAAGTCTTAAATTCAGAATTACAATCTTTAAATATATTATTACATTGGATTGGATCGACAGACTAAGGCCACGCAACACATGGACGATAGGAGGGAGTTTCTTCCAAGAAGGACTTTCTATAAAAAACTTACTCCTATTTATGTTTTAAAGACGTGGAAAAAAAAATGCAGAAAAATGCACGAGCCAGTCCAGTGGTCGGATGCAAACCCACGACCTTCTTACAGGGTCATCGGTGGGCCATTACGAAAAGAAGCTCCAGCCTTACGTGATCAAAAAAAGGTGGCCCCATAAATCAGGTGACTGAAGATATAATTTAGTAACAGTTAAATAATCTTTTAAGTCAGGTCGATCTGTGGTTTAAATTCGAACTATAAAAGGTAGGACCACAATGCATAAAAGTCAGCAAT